TGTTATGTTTTATTTTATCATGGACTGCATCTGCTTTCTACATGTTTGTGGTTATGAACAGGAGTCTAACTTGTGATTCTGCCTTTCTCAAGCTAACTCTTGAGCCAAAACGTTGCTAGCTCTGATCCGAAATAATGTCTGCTGAAGACTATATGCTCCTTTGTCATTTGCATTGTATGGAGATCAACCTCTCCTTTCTGGAGGTAAGAGCATCTTCAGTATTTTAAGTACGTAAAATCTCAAAGTTGATTGATCTTTCTGATTAAGTAATAACCATTTAAATGGCTATGTGTTTATGTGCTTATAGTGTTCCTTTAACATACCCGCTGTGTTTTTTTCAGGATAATAATTATTTAAACCATATTTTTCCAAAATACCAACCATGCCATACCTGTATGAGTCTTCCTTGCTCGCTCTGCAGAGCCCCAAGCTCTGCTCCGAGTCCACTCTGCCCTTTTCTCAGGATCTCCCAGTCTGCTCGTTGCCGAGACATCTGTGACACCATCTGTGCCACTTGATCGGCTAACCCAGACAACAGAGCTCGCTCTTTCCCTCCCGCTACTTTTTGCTCTGAGTCGTGATCAGCCATGGCAGACAACAGTGAAGACTGCAATCCCTCCAATCTGGGGTATGGATCTGGGCAGTTTGGGTCAATGAAGATACTGATGTGGGAGCTATCAGCCCTTTCAATGGTCACCAAAGCATTGGGGTCTTCCATGTTGGTGGTAATAACTGGAGGTGGTTCAGTAGATGGAGCGTGGTAGTGATTCATAAAGAGAACAGCTGCAGTGACCGTAACAGCCAATAGGACGGCTACCGACAGCAACACGGTGCAAAGGATGTAACCGCAACTTTTTCTCTGTAAGAGAATAAGTATCACCACAAAAATTACCATTAAGGGGCAGAGGGACCTTAGAAGCCATATATTATTAATATTTCAAGGAGCAAGAGAAAAATACATCTATATTTACAATTAGACCATTAAATTTATTTTTTTTGTAATCAGGAAATCCAAATGAATTTCACATTATGGTCAAAATAGCCAAACTGAAAACTGAAAGCTGCTTTCATTAATTTTTCCAGGTCTATGTTGACCTATTTCTATGTTTGACAAATCATACCATAGGGATTTGTTCACTAAATTCTTAATGAGTAATAATGTGCCTTTTTAATTGGATACCTCTCACCCATTAAGCACTTCAACAAGCCAAATAGCTCTATGGGTGTGGAGAAGTCCTTTAACATGAACATGATGCACTCGGAGCTCTTCAATTAGTCCGGAATATCTACAAGGCCAACAAGGCCATGAGCTCAGGGCGGCAATGCAGGCAGTCTACAGGAACTGTATGACACCAGGGTTTTAGCAAGTTGCTGCGTTAATAAATTCAATGAAAGTATACTTGTGAAACCTGTGTTCCTGTGGAACTCTTTGGCCTGGCAAACTCAAAATAAAATGTCTCAAAATAAAGTTTATTTCTGTCTAATCCCACATGTTGTTGTGCTGGTAACCACAGAGAACCTATCACATGAGGACATCGCTCCACTTCCCCATCGCATCACTTGAGGTCAATAATCAAGGTATGTGTCTCCACAAAAAAATGAAAAGTTTTATCACAATTTTAAAAACCGAACAATTTCTCAATGAATAGCCTAGTATTGAACTGGTAATGTAATCACAGTCTGTACAAAAGTAATGGGGTTTACTCACTAAGGAGGGAATTGTGGATACAGAGGATTAACACATTTCAAGACAGAATAACTGAAATTAAATCATCAAATAAAAAAACATCTCGTATTCAGGCATGTTTCCACCGTATCAGTTTTTCCTAAAATGTTAAACTCCATTGTCTATTCACCACAATTCCTGCTCTAGTGACTGAACCCCAATATTTTCTTTTCAACCACCTATGTCTTATAATCATGCTGCCTGCAATATATTTTTTTCCTTATATTTGTTCCCCAATCCCCATTCTTAATATAATATGCCTGTGATTTAAGTCACACACTGGTCACTTTGTAATCAAAAGAGTGATTGTGATTACACGTAGGTAGGTAAGCACTTATTATAATAGCAATAAGCAAATGTAATAATATAATAATAATAACAGCAAAATAGGCTTACCTAGTACATCATATTATATATATATATATATATATATATATGATATAATTTATATATCATATCATATAATATACTATAGGGCTTGCCTATTATAAACATGACCCCTTCATGTTTAACCCTCTGCGTGCCTTTTGGTGGCTGTTTGTGTGTGTGTTGGGGGTCAGTCTCTGTGTGTGTGTGTGTGTGTATGGGTCAGTCTGTGTGTGGGGGTAGGGGTTCAGTCTGTGTGTGTGGGTGTCAGTTTGTTTTGGGGTGAGTCAGTCTGTGTGTGTGTGGGGGGGGGGACTCAGTCTGTGTATGTAGGGCTCAGTCTGTGTGTGGGGTGGGTCAGTCAATTTGGAAATCTTGTGCCTTCCAAATCTCACATGGGAACTTTCTATATGCTGCCCAAAATTAGCAAGCCAGGGAGTCCCGACAACACTTTATAAGAACACTTATTGAGCAAACATCTAGACTAATACAAAATATGATTAAGCACCGAGAGCTATATACAGGACACCACAGACTTATTCAATAAAAGTACAGAGCACAAAACTACCTGCTAATACTTTATTGGTAACCATGGATATGGAATTTTTATATGGTAACATCCAACATAAAGATGGTATCGAGATCTATAGAACCACAATAGCTATGCATAAAAGTGATAAGCAAAATGTCAAATTATCACCAAGATTATAGAAATTATACTCAAAGACAACTATTTCAGTTTCAGTAACAACAGCTATTGTCTTGAACGGCGATGGGCATAAAAATGTCACCACAATACTACAATCTTTTTATAGCCAACCTAAAACACAGATTCTTAGCCACTCACTAGCACAAACTATATAAATATTACTGCTACATAGATGACATTTTTATAATATGGCCAGAAGGAAAAGAAAGCCTTCTAGATTCTATAAATCATTTAATATATTCCACCCATTTATAAACCTCACAATTAATTTCTCGAAGGTCAGTGTGAGCTTCCTGGACTGTGCCGTAACTGCCACCAATGGGATTCTACATTCAGATCGGTACAGCTACATCCACAATTCCAGCTTTTATCCCAGCCACACAAAACAAGGTAACATCTAGAGCCAAGCTATCGGATACCATTGCATTTGCTCTGACAATGGGGACCAAGACAAACACTTGAGTTGGAGTCATTTTGGCGAAAGGGCTATCTGGGAAAGACAATATCGTAAAATAAATAAATTAATGAAATCTGCCCTAAACATTTCACACAAAAGTGACATAAGGCAGGCCTGAACATAGTTTCAACTACCTAAATCATGTGCACCGTGGTAAATTAAACCAGCGGCACACATGATTTAGGCAGTCCGGAACTCTGTTCTGGCCTGCCTAATGTCACTTCTTTGCAAAATTTTTAGGACAGATTTTATTTTTAACACAAGTGCAAGTATGTACAGTGTTTTAAACAAAACTGCTTGGATTGGCTGAGATCATCAAATTTGATGATCTCAGCCATGGAATGGAATGAGGCAGGACCAGCCACAGCAAGAAAACTGGAAAAAAGGTGAGTAAAATTACCTTTTTTTAGTGCAACTTAAGAAAACGAACTCAAACTAGACTCACTAAACAGCCCTGATTGTTAAAGTGTTGTTTTTAATAAACATTTGACTAAACATTTGATTCTGCTACTCTTTTCAAGTACAATGATTCACCCAATGTATACCTTTTCCAATAATCCTACCCTTAAAGGGACACCATAGCAACTTTAGCTTAATTAAGTAGTCTTGGTGTATAGATCATGCCCCTGCAATCTCACTGCTCCATTATCTGCCATTTATAAGTGAATTCACTTGTGTTTCTGTTTATACAGCCCTGGTCACACCTCCCCTGGCTGTGACTCCCACATCCTGCATGAAAAAAATGGTTTCACTTTCAATCAGATAGTACTTATTTTAGAGGTTTTTATATCCCACTCTCTAAATTTAACTTTAATCGTGTACAGGGGTTTCCTGCAAGGTCTAGCAAGCTATTAAGGGCATTAGATAAGAAATTCTAAATTGAACAGAATTTGCAATAAAGTGTAAACATTAGATGACTGATGAGGAAGTGTTTAGGAAGGCTGTGTAAGTCACATGCAGGGAGGTGTGACAAGAGCTGCATAAACACAGTAAATTAACTCCTGAAAGGCAGACAATTGGGTAGTGAGACTGCGTATACACGATCTATACACCAAAACCGCTCCATTAAGCTACAGTTGTTTTAGTGACTATAGTATACCTTTAATCTTGTCCCTAATCCAACCCTTAATCCAATTCATAATCCAACCCAAAATCCAACTCTCAATCTAACCCCTAATCCAATTTATTATTCTATCTATAATCCAAATCCTAATCCTGCCCCTAATCCGACCTACTACTATCATCCCCTCATCCTATCTTTAAGGGATTCCCTCTGCTAATGTCAACACTGACATCAGCAGAGCAATTTCCGAGCACACACAATACAGAGAGCTCTATGAGAACTCTGTACTGTGTGCTTGCAGCATGATACAGAGATCTCTTATGCTGCAGTTTCAGTAACTGTGATCGGTCCTGAGCAGCTGCTAAAGCCTTGCACCGATTACTGGGATAAGGGAAATGCAGGGAGATTTCCCCAGGACAAACCTCCCAACATTCCAAATGCACAAAGGGAGGCACGTTAAGTTTAGGAGTGTTACTGGGGTTGTAGCCAGTGGTGGAGATGTTCTAATAATTATTAGGTCACTTACTAATAACAATTTATGCAACTAAAAATTTAATTTAGAACAAGAATAATGTATTCTATTTACTCACACAGATATTTTAAATACAATACAGGTGGTCCTCAATTTACGACCGACCTGTTTTTCGACCGGGGTGGTAAGGGTGAGCCGTCGTGGGAATTAGAGGGATTCCCTGCTCTGCTTTGTTCATCTATGTTCTGGGAAATTTCCTCGAACATAGATGAATGCACCAGAGCAGTGAATCCCTTAAATCTATGTTTTCCCCGAACATAGAAAAGCGCACCAGAGCAGGAAATCCCTTAACTCCTCACTTACCGACAAATGGTAGGTATACCAGGCTCTTTTCAGTCCCTGGGGGTCTCCCTGATACGCGGAGGGGGAGGTGGGGGACACTAACAGGATCTTCTCTGAGGAAGCTGTATGTCGTAAACCTGCTTTGGAGGACCCTCAATAGCAGCAGGACCAGGTAAGAGGGCAGACCGTTGTACAATGGTTTTCCCCATTACCGTGGAACAGTGCCAGGATATGCCTACACATCATGTAGCTTTTCATTTTTATGCCAAACTCTGCTGTTTTATGTGCTTATTGTTCTGGCCATTCTCAATCACTCTGCACCTTTAAATCTCAGGCAAATCTTCTGCTATTTACAAACACTCCACTCAACCCCCCTTTCCCATTCTCTAACATCATCAGTTGTTATAATCTGTCATATTGATCAGTATTGTTTCTCGCAAAAGCTTTATATTAGTTCAATAGAAAGGTATTGTGGCATAGCTATTCTGGCATCTTGTTTACTAGACTAATATGGCTAATCCATCCAATCTGCATTACTTTTAATTTTTTAAATTCATGTTACACTAAAGAATCACCAAATATATTATTTTTTGTAATTTTTTTTAATAATCTTTGTTTTAAGAAATGGAAAGACATAACTAATGAGTCACATAATATAAATCCCTTACTTACAGATTTAAGACATAATCCCCAAACGCAGTATTTCGGCTGAGTAGCCTTTATCAAGAATTAGATCTACCCGAGCTGCAATGATTACAGACCCATCTCACACAATACTGTTGTTTGGAGGTAAAACTCGGCTGTGAAATTATATCTTAAATCTGAAAATATGAATTGGCTATTATATGACTCATTGTTTTCTTATTTCTTTTTCTCGAGATAAAGAATGTATTTTAAAAAATAAAAAAGGATGTAGCTTTGAAATAAAGATTGCCCATTTTATATTACATTGGAAAGTCTAGTATGCTTAAGTTCCATATAGTTATAAAATGTGTTGGTTAATAGGGGGATTGACTATTCAGGATCACTTCTATATCCCTTATATTGATTATTCTATAATATGCAATTGCCTTGTCAATCCTCTGCAATTCCCAGTTTAGTAAATAAACCCCAAAGGAATTAACTCATTAACTCTCCCTGCTGATCCATGTTTTACTTTGTAGTAGAGATGTATGCAACCTGGACCTTTTTATTTTTCAACAGTTAACGGATAATGAGAATCAGACAGGAAACAAGTCGAATGTTCAGCACAATGAAAAGAAACTTACGATAATTCAATATTCTGCTTTCATGAGGGAAGAGAACTAGGAGTCTGAAAGATTGTACCCTGGAGTGATTTGCAAATTACAGCAACTTATAAGGCATTATTGCAAAATCTTCATGAAAGTCATATTTTAGAAGCCCCGAAAAAATGGAACTTACTGAATCATACTTTTATTTCTTTTCATAATATCTAATTTTCTCTCTTTTTTTTCCTCTCTCCCCAACACTGGTAAAATTAACTCCATAATATAAAGAAAAGGGCGAGCAACAGACAATTTATCCACACTAGTTAGACTGCGCAAATTATTCCATGGCGATGGCTGTTGGAGACTAAATACAGAGAGAATACATGGTTGTCATCCAACGAGAGATGAGGTGTCTCTTCGACACAGCAGGACTATCACACACGGAGAGGTGAGCTGTCTCTATTAGAGTAGTGCTGTCAGAAAATGAGAGGGGGCATCAATTTGTCATAGCGAAAAAACGGCAACGGTGCAGGTTTCTCTCTAGCTAAGCAGCTGTCAGCAAGGTAGGAAGGACTTGTTTAACTAAAGCTGTCATCAAAGTGGGTGAGAAGGGGCTACACAGCTTGAGGTGTGGGTGTCATTTACCCACAGAGGGGCCTTTGCACAGTGCAGAATATCTGTCCTTATAAGACATGTGTCATTATTAGATCTTTTTTTCCCTGCCTACTGCTGTGCAAACTCTTTAGCTGTCATCTTTTGATAGTTTTGTGTGTCACTTGCTCATGGAGGGGTCTGGTCTGGAAGTATCTGCTCGTCACATTTTCTTTACTCTTCCCAGTTTGACATGACATAGTAATATACACATACAGCTCTCTGTATACATATTCCGTGTAAAAACATCCTCTGGTACGCTCTATGAAAAGAGCGTACAATGAAAATGAAAGATTTGCAGCAATGCCTCGGTTGACCCTCTTCTGCATGTATCACTACCTGCTTTAAAACTCTGTGAAGCAGTTTGATCTCGGGCCAAGCAGTAGCTATCTACTGCCTACCTATCAAGAAGTCTTTCTCATTTCTTGTACATCTCCGTGGCTGCTTGCCTCTCAGTCCTGCCTCTCTCGCTTCCCAAGCAATCTATTGATTTCTTTGCAAAAGCATTGGTCTAACAAATGCAGAAATTCGTTTACAAACCCTGATCTGGTCTGAGTGTATTGGGAGCAGTTTAGTAACCTGACGTCCCAACCATGACTAGTAGCACACAGTAAGTTACTTTATGAGCCTTTGCACAAAAAAGTAATTTTGGCTCTGGTTCTTTGCCAGCCCTACAAACGCAGCTGAGTTTAGGGCAGGCCATGGGCATAATTTTCTACCATGGCATAATGTATTTACACAACAGTCATTAAATGAGAATTTTATGGCAGAGCATAAATGAGCCATGATTTCAGTTATGGTAGACGAAACATCTTCATGATTCATTGCCTTTAAATGGGATTCATCTGAGTATATACATTTGCTGTTAAAAGGGACAGGATCCCTTATAAATTTAAAGTAACTGTATCAAGTTAAATATCCTATTTCACCAGCTAAAGCAGGGGTAGCCAGCTATTCTAAGGCTGGCAAAGCATCATGGGAGTTGCTAAATTAGAATGAACTCTGCTATTCACATCTGAAATAATACTTATAAGGAGTTAAATCTACATCAGACTTCTTCATCAGACTTGCTCTTTACCTAAACATGATGATACAGACAAGATGATTAGAGTTTAATTAATTTATTTATTTCTTTAATTTAAATGAATTTGTTTAAAATACAGCAAAAATGTAATCTGACCAAGTGTAAGAAGATAATTATTATGAGAATTGTCAAAAGATGCTTCTAATTTCCGAATCCCCTCCTCCTTCCCCCAATCCATTTGTGAATGATTAATTGAGGGGAAAACATACACATTGATTACTCACAGATGCATGTTAAAGATGTTTAATGATAGGAAAAATATAACCTTTTTTGTATTTTTTTTTTTTAATTGTAATTATTGCAATAGATCATTAAGAGATATAGTTAAAAAGATTTATGTATGATTTGCGGGCCAGAAGCTTTATTGGACAGCATCTACTAAACAGGTTGAAGGAACACTAAAGCACTAGGAACTTAGATTGTTCCAATGCCGAGGCTCCTTCGACCCTGCTTACCGCCACATTTACCGCAACATCATAGATCAGGCATGGTCTCCTCCAGTGTGCTCCAATCCAATGTTGCTCGTAGAGGAGCACTGGGGATCTGATGCACATGTGATGCGAGCATCACGCGCATGTGCTAACTTCCTCATAGGAAAGCATTGAATCATTGCTTTCCTGTAGGGACTTCACCATCATGTGACCGAGATTTACTCAGCCAGTGTATCAGAAGTGCCTCCAGTGGCTTTCAGTGATAGTGCGTTAAACCCTTCAAGGTAAACATTGACGTTTCTGCAGTTTTTTTCATTGAAATGAAGTTGCATGGGTGACTTTAGTGGTCCTTTAAAGTGTCACTGTCAACCCACTCCAAAATGAGTATTTCATAGCGATACAAACTTTATGAAATACCCAGGCCACGGGTTTACCTACCACCCGTACCGCGCTCACGATGTGCAACCCTGTGGCAACCCCATTCACACATCACCCCATCAGACTTCCACCACAAAAACACCTCCACTCACCGGCACTCTCGCATGCAACACAATACAGTTTGCAATCTTCCTATAATGTATACTCTAACTCCTCAAAGTACTGTTTACCTTTTTAAAAATGCATGTCTCACAATCTAATGTTGATACCTTATGTGAATCGAGAAAAATAAAGAATTAAAAAAAAAAAACATTATGAAATACTCAGATGTACTGTTTTTCATTTTTAACTGAAATTCCAACCCAGTCAAAAGATATACCGTATGGTAAACGTCGTCTCATTTTTTTCTCACGCCTGAAGAAGCTTGATCCTAGGTGGAGCTACTGCTGCCAAGCCTTGTAATTTCTCCCAGCCGTCACCAGTGACGGCAGTAGGGATCCTCCATAGACATCAATGCTGAACACTTGTGGTGCTGATGTGGGCTCCTGGCAGCTGAAGTGCCAGAGGCTGAAGAGAAGCGACAGGAATATGATGGTGGTGTCCACAAAGGACAGGTTCGGGTGAGTAAATCTTACCTTTGCCTGCCCAGAATGGATGTCACCATTGGGCGGTGGCAGATCCGCTTTAATGTTATTTAGAGGGTTATGTACCCCTTTCTTTCCCATGGCACTATTTTGTGGGGTGGGGATGAATAATGGGGGCATGGTAGAAATAAGAAGGTAAGTGATAAACAATGTCTGAATAAGAAGTAACTGATTTGGAAAATAAATCTATAAGTCACCTATAGTGAGTCTGAATTTAGCATTGTGTTTTCTATTTATTACATCTCACTAAAATAGTTGAACAAGATGTAATAAACAAGGCGCTAAGTGGCTGCTGCTAGTACACACTAGCAGGGTCAATCACATAAATCCCACTCAAAATACAATACAAAAGACACAGGAAAGTGTGCAGCGCATAGAGGTAATAAGAAACACTTCTAGGTGTATATCACATCACTTAATACATGCAGGGCAGATTATAAGACTCCATAAAGAAATAATCACAAAATTGCCCTATGAGAGTCTCTTTTTTTTTGTCTCACTTTTTAAGGAATATCTGTGCTGATATCTCCATTTTGGAGT